TTTTATTTTAAAATTTAAGTTCCTATAATATAAACAATCAATAGGCAAAGTTTCACAAAAATCTCAGTGCAGGTTCTATTTCAGTGGAATTACCTTAAGGTACTTGTACTCTGAGTAATGTAACTTTGGTTCTATACAACCAATTTAATCCAAATTTTTATCATTTTGAAGCTGAATAAATGGAGATTTAAAATATGTCACCACCTGCGTCATTTATTCAAGAAATAAGTTAATACTAGTTAATATATGCAAATTTAAATGTCATGCAATACCCCAAAACATCAGAAAAACAGGAACAAGATCACTACCTTAAATATTGAGAAAAACTGTTCAAAGAGAAATTGAAACACTACCTTTTTGCACTTCTGGTGAAAATTTGGCCTAAATCTACTGAAAATTCAAAAAGTTATACCATTTACAGAAAGTGCACCCTAAGTACAACAATTTGCAATGGTACTTGTTATCTTGAAAGAAACTTACAAATTCAAACACTAAAGACAGCACTTCACAGTGAACTGTGTTCAGGAAAGCCTGACTAAGCCTAATGAATCAATAAGTGTGCCTGATATAAATTTCAACTTAAAAAAACACTATTTTCATGGAAAGTAAAACAGTGAGAGGAAAAAAAATCAATATTTTGATATTTTTTGGTGTTTATAATAGTTTTGCTGTACTTCAATGATCACTTTAGTGTGATTAGTCTTTGCTATGCCATATTTTAAAACAATTTTTGTCTTGTGTGCAGTGTAGGTGCACTCCACACTGGTGTACTACAGTATGTTACAACTTTCAGTTCCTTCTTGGTTGCCGCATAGCAAACTTTACATGACTTCTTGGTGTCGGACGATTTGACTCGCTTGCTGCCATAAATTATGCACTTTTTCATTTCTGTCAACATGAATGAAATCATTCGCATTGTCAGTTGAAGTGAGAATTGTAACTGGCCTATTATCTTTCCACTGTAAAGCTAAACAGACTCCATCATTTTTCCATCTCATGCTTCCCCTCTGCTCTCCTCTTGCCCACTGTTTTATTGTTCTTTATGGAATTGGGGAATCCCCTTCTATTTTCTGCAGCAGTTCCAGTTGCTGGAAGCATCAGACAAAACAGGTCCTTCACAAGTGTTACTGGTGTATAAAAATTATCAAAATATAAATGATAACCTTGATTAATTAGGAGCTGTACCAGCCTCATCACAACTTAAGCCTAGTCCATTGGCACTGGTCATGGCAGCATGTATAACCATGTATAACCATTTGCACTGTCATTTTGTTAATGGAATTTTATTTACAACTTGAGCACTCACATTACTTACATTAGTGATGTTATAATTACATTTACACTTACAATATACTTGCTACTTATACTACTTATACTTACACTACTTATACAAATTTTTTTCCTTAAGTGTTTAAAAGAAACAATTCCTCAAAAATTCTCAATTGATGTTATTTGATTTAAAGGAAAATGCTTTTCGGTTTGATGTTTATTTAATAAAATTCTTTCAAAGTGGCTGAAAGATGGTTTTGTTTCTTTACACCGGCAAGTCCACAAGTACGTTTTTCCTAAAATGATTATATAGTTTA